AAGAGACTTCTTCTCCGGTCCCAACAACTCTCTTATATCCGGGTTACACTGTATATCATAGTACCGCATGTTTACAGGGATCCTACTAAAGCACTCATGGAACAATCAAACAGACCACAACTCAGTCTTGGATCCTTAAACCAAGCTATCCAGGACTGTGAACTCTGGAGTGAGTTGATTCATGCAAGTTCACATTCTGCGATAAGCAGACAAAGTGATCTATGACATATTTGATAAACTTAATTGCTAATGATGTTAGCCTTTGTCCATTTGTGGGTGAATTAATGCGAAAATACCCAAGTGTTACATCAACTTGGGGAAAGAACTAGAAAATACTGTGGCACTTAGCACAGGATAGACACAGCAATCAGTAGCTGAAGCTTTCGTAAATAGATAATATATATAGCCTCCAAAACTAAATTTCTCTCTACTGATCCTCTGAGAGACTCCTTACTGCCTTCCATCAGTACGGCTGATGCTAACCTCCAGGAAAGTGACTCGTTGCACCTTCTCGGGCTTACATTCTTTGCTGATATGAAGTGGAAAGACTATATTGAATCCATTGGTAGGTCAGCTGCTAAGAAAGTCAGTTCACTATGTCAGGCAAGACAATTTTTCTCTCCAGAATCTGTCTTAAATATCTATAAGTCTGTTGCAGTTTTGGGGGTATTATGTACTAGTGAGTTAGCCCAAAAGACTTGACTCACTTTATAGTCCACCAATAGAAGGTTAACCAATCAGAAGACGTAGAATATTCAATCTGTCGCGTATAAAGGCGACCATTTTGTTTACTCTATCCAAATGTCCAGTGCCAGCTTGTCAGGCGAAGAGGAACAGAAGGAAGAACTACGCTCTGCTACTTTACCGGGATATCCACCGCTAACCTGAACAACGCTTCCTTACTGTCTTCGAAATATTCACTGCTAACCTCTGGATTCTATACTCAAAGACGACCGTCATCATGAACAACAAAATCTACCATTCATCCATTGCTGCCACATATGGTCCTGTGCCCTCGATATTTACCTTGAGCTGTTTGATAAGATCCAAAGAAGAATCTGCAATATCACTGGCCCAAATCTGGTGGCTCAGCTTCAGTCACTTTCCCCACTGCCATAAGGTTACCGCTCTATGTCTTCTATAAATACTTTCATGGTAATTGTTTGAATGAGTTCTTCACTATGGTATGTAAAGTTTTTTGAATTTAAGTGCAGCACTAGACTAGTGTTGAGATCTCATTAATTTACAGTTGAGCAGGACAGATGTAGCCATAAATCCTATGCTAACAGTTTCTTCTCTCTTGTGAAACTCCCTTCCAGCTCCATGCTTTCCAACCAACTTTAATCTACGAAAATTTAAATGCAACGTCAATTGCTATCTACTGTCCTCCTAATTACTCTCTTCTCTTTCTGCTCATCATTAATATTTCTGTTTCTAATTCTTCCAAACCCTGTAACTCCTTGTGTTTTAATGACATTACTGCCTTGCTTAGGGGTGATTCTGATTAAAAAAAAAAAAAAAAAAAAAAAAAAGCATGAATTACAAAATTTGGAGTTAACTTAAATGTTGTGACATGTAGGGGAAGTCAATTTATACAAGTGAACCGTTTTTAGAACTATCAAAAAATTGTTTTTTTTTTTGTTTTTTTTATATATAGATTAGGAATAACTGCTTACTATCCACTGGAGAGCACACACACAGAACAATTAAAACAGCAATTGTAGCTTATAAAGAGACATGACTCTCAGTAATACCAACCATATTCATTGGTGTGTTTGGTCCTTGCGAAATGAGACAATCGTTATATTCATCTTCATATATTTATATTTGATTTATAACCTGTAGTCTATACTATTTTTCCCAATTACAAAGCGGCCCTTTAAGTAAACACAATTTTATTTTCCTTCGTCCCATCTCTCTCAGCCACCCTTTCTTTTTTTTTTTTTTTTTTCCCTTCCTATCCAAATTGTCTGTGGTGTGTATATGTCACCATGAAATGTATCTTTATGTATTAGACATCCGTCGACTTTCTTTTCTCCTCTTTTTAAATCCACCCCACCCACATCTCCAAAAAATTCTCTCCGTTAAGGTTTCATGTCCTCCTCCTCATACTTACACTTTCTCTAAATTCTGTTTTGATTTCGGAGTTGTTTTTTTCTGTTTTCATTTTGAATTTGTAGGTCTGATGATTTGGATCGTATTTACGATTCCAATGGAATAAATTATGACCATGGAATATTAGTGTTTAAGCCTTTTTATTATATCCTTACTCTGTCCTAGACATTGAGTTCTACCTGGATCCTTCCTCTTGGAAAATTTTTTTCTGAAAATATACATGTATGGGAATTTTTAGATATATTTTTCATATGTATGTATATTTTCCACTAATATTATATATATATATATATATATATATATATATATATATATATATATATATATATATTATATAGTACACCTGATAAACCAAACTTCTCCCTTTTTTGTCCTACAACTGGTTCCTCAATATTAATTCAAAATATTAATTAGTTCATCTGACACAATAAAAGATGATTTATTAAATATTAATTTTACTAAGAATTTGTGTAAAATTTGGGTAGGAATTATTGTGGTAATATTCTAAATTTAATCATTAAGATAGCTAGCATGTAAAGATTTCAAAGGCATATAAAAAAAAGAAGACACATTGAATGTCAACATCAAAATGATAAGCTCCAGGAAAAAAAAAAAAATATACACCAAAATCTAAAACAAGATTTAAAATTTTCAGACATAAAAGAAAACAGATCACAATGTATAAATTGAGAATTTTCAACCAATTGATATTTGTAGAAGTTCAAAGACCTTTGAGTTTGTCCCTCCTGAAAACAATAGAAGACTTTGCAAGAGGTCACAGTCAGTCAATACAGAAATAACAGCTCAGGTACACAAATGTATGTCAAGTGACTCCTTTTACATAAAGATGGAAGCAAAGCAGCTAGAGATAAAAAAAAAAAAACTACATTCTAGATTTAAGTCAATACATTTTTACTTCTTTTCTCCTGTAATTGCATTTATTTGAAAATGTATTAACTTTTAGCAGACATATTTCCATTCCCATGAACATTTCAAATAGGAGTATTTAAGTTAAACAGTACACACAGAAAATTAACACAAACAAATAAATTGTTTTTTTAATCTTTTCACCCCAAGAAAGGCAAAAAGCTACTAAGATGTAATGGGTTACAGCGCGAGAGAATATGAGAAAAAGAAAACATTATTCAGGAAAGAGAACAATAAGAATTAAGAAGGCAGAAGATAACAATTGACATCGCATTTAAATTTTTGAAGATCAGCTGAATGTAAAAAAGTAAAACTAAAACTGCAATTTAAAATTTTTACCCAAAATTTATCGACTTACGTTCGGTTAGTTGTGACTATATCGCTAATAAACCGATTTTATTTTTTTTTTTTTTTTACATTTTCAAATTTTCCTTGCATTTTATTTTTTATTTTTTAGATTGAAAATAATTTTTTTTATTACTTCAAGCCATCATACCCCCTCACGACAAAAACTACTTTTTTTTTCAAGGGTGTCGGTGTCGCTTCAGCAGCGACAGCTGATGTTTTAAAATAACTTGGACTTTGAAAACCTATTACAATGCAATAAATGAAATGAGTTTTTATAATTTTTTAAAATAATATAAAACAAAATTAAACAATTTATAAGTCTCGACACTTTTTTTTTTTACGTGGACCACGTTTTTGAAATATGAGACGTGTTAAAACAAGATTTATCGGTGATGATGTTTAAGATTTTCGAAGAAGCTTGTCTTAAAGTTTAAGAAATGTAAAAAAAATATTAAATTGAATTCTTTATTCGTAATTGAATTGTATTTCAAATTCAGTTTTTTTTTTTTTATGGTCAGACTTAATTCTTTTATAACTTGTATTGTAAACAAAACAATCTTTTTTTTTTTTTTTACCCGAAAAATTTTTAAACATATTGAATCAAAAAATGGTTGTTCAAAAAGATTAGTACTTTAAAAATAAAATACTTTGTTTCAGATTCTACATGTTCCAAATTTATTTTTTTAAGTATTTTCTTTCTATATGACTCAAGCAAGAGACTAAGTAAAAAGGTGAAAACATTTTTTAGTACAATATTTTTAATGACGGTAGCATATTTTATTTACGTTTAAGAAGATATTTAATTTCTTCATCAATGAGGAAAGAATTATCACGAATCTGATAAGCAATTATTTTGTGTTGCAAAAAATAAAAAGTGAAGGTTTTTAGTTAGTAGAAATCGTTTTCTTAAGGGAATAACTATTTAATACTAATTAAATAATAATACTAAAAATAGCGAATCATTTTTGCTTTTATTCATCACTATGATCAAAGTTCAATAATTTAATTTTTAAAAGCTAACAACATACGTGTTTAATAGAAAAAAAACATTATTTATTTACTAATAATAATTTGAAAATAGAGGTACTTTTGAAAAAGTATTATTACTAAATTTACGAATGTATGTACTTTAGTTTAAAATTCTTCCTTTTTTGGACAGTTATTCAAAGCAAAGCTTTTGACAATTTATTAACAGATATGTTTTTAAATGGAAAAATATAGTTTTTAAAAGGACTTAAACATTTTTTTAAATGTGCATTTTTAAAGAAAAAGACAAACGAGAAGGCATTTTTTCTGTCTCTAATATTTAAAACGAGAATTCGACAAGGTATCAAATCAATTACATGAAAAGGCAAGAGGGTATTTATGCAGATTAATTCACAAAAATAATAAAACACATGAATATTTCAATAAAGTATTCGTAATAGAGTAAGACTGTGGCCCGGGCACATGTTGTTTACGATCCAGACTAAAGAGAGATCGGCAAAAACACTCACCACACCTAGGGTATATATTGTCAAATAAATAAAAGTTGGCGAATAAAAAAAAAAACACGGCAAGTAAAGTTATCTCTGCTTTTTATATCCATTGGAATCTAAGTAAATACTTACCAAAGATCTGGTCAACAAAAAAGCAGCTATGTTGTTGAAAAATTGCTTTTGAAGGCCATTTTTATCACATCCATCAGTGATTTTTCACATCTGCTACCGACTGGATAGTTTGGGAAAACAACGAGTCCAAATTTCTATTTCTATTGTCTGCTTTTTGATAGATTGTCTTTTTTTTGTTCGTAGCTAACAACAGCATTTGTTTATTAAAAAAATAAAATAAAATACGATAGTTTAAAAAAAAAATTATTAATTTTAAAATAGTGCTTGTTTAACAAAACAGAAATAAACAAATTAAAAAAATATTTTAAAATTCAACTATATATTTTTTTAAAATGCACTTTTTTATGTTCTTTTCCATCTTGTAGCAATATCTTCTCGTAAAGAGAGGGTTAGTAACTGAATTAACCCTGATTCCTCGTTAGGTGCTCTGGCAGAAGTTAAAGCGAGAATTACCCTCGGACAAACAGAGACCGGCCAAAAATAGTCAAATTCCTGTTTTAGTTTAGCAGAAATACTTTATTCTCACTGTTCCTCATGAGAAAAAAGTACTACTAAGAGACCGAACTTTATTAAATAATACTTCAAGACAAGCGTGTTTTTTTTTTTTTTGTGTGTGTGTTCTTTTTTGTTATTATGACTATTTATTTATTTTAAGCAAGTTCACCCCAAGTAAGGCAGTAAAGCCACTGAGGCACAAGGGGTTATACAGGGTGTAGAAGAATTTGAAAGCAGAAACATTACTAAGGAGTGGGGAACAAAGGAAGAGTAATCAGGAGGACAGCAGATAGCGATTGACACTGAATTTAAATTTTTGAAGATTAAAGTTAACTTGAAAGCATTGAGTTGAAAGAAAGTTCCATAAGTGCAAAAAAAGAAATTGTTAGGATAAAACTTACAGTTACATCTAGCCAACTCATCTGGAAATTGAAGAGACCTAATTGCCAGTTTATTATTGCGCTTAACTTCATAAAGTTAAGTACTGTTGCCAAGAGCTCATGCAAACAATTACAATGAAAATATTTATAGAAAAGGTACAGGGAGTCAACTTTATGACAGTGGGAAAGTGACTGAATCCGAGATGCCAGATCAGGATCAGTAATATTACTGAGTCTTCTTTTGAATTTTATCAAGGATCTCTAGATATAAAGCAGGAGCTCTGGACTATGTGTGGCAGCAATATTCTAAGCATGGATGAATGGATGAATTATAGATGTGGAATAATGGATAGCGGCTCGGATTGAGGAATCAGAAAGCCGAGTTTGAATTCCAGTCAAATCCATTCCATTCACTTATGTGCTAATATCCTTGGGAAAGGTATGAATCCTCTTCTTCTCCCCCCAGCTATGAGTAAATACCAGGACAGACCAAGTTGAATGGCAACTGGTCTACTGCAGAAAGAAATGGCAACCTACTGCTGGAAAAAATCTACCTTGTCAGTCATGTATCAAAAGATACATGATTGCCTAAACGTGTATCTCGCATAACACATAACTGACTGAATATAGATTCAGGAGAGAAAAATTGTCTAGCATGACGTAGTGAACTAACTTTCTTAGCGGCTGACCTAGCAATGGATTCAGTATAGTCTTTCCACTTCATGACAGTCGAGAACATTATCCTGAAGGCTAGCATCAGCCATGCTGATGGAAGGCAGAAAGAGGTCTCACAGATAATAAATAGAGAGCAGTTTTAACTTGATTTTGGCACAAGACCACAAATATGGAACACTCAGTGAGAATCAAATTCATTATTAATCTACAAGTCTATGCTTGCTGACAACCACATCACAATGAGGTGGTGCTAAGTTTTCTGTGAAAGGGGTTTTGAGAGTGTTCGTTTTCTTCAATAGGTGTTTATTAAATTTAACTTTGTTTGGTATAAGGCCATGGATGTGAGAACCTAGTCATAAATGAACACATTAGAAACAGTCTACTAGACAGCTTTTCTTTTTTTAATAATTTCACCTTCCAATCAAGGCAATGAAGCTACTAGGATGCAAGGGGTTTATTGAGAGTGAAAAAAGAGAAAATGCTATTGAGGAGAAAGAACAATAAAAGAACAATATTTAATGAGTCATAAGATTACGATTGATGCTGCATTTGAGTTTTTGAAGATCATAGTTGACAGAGGAAAGCAAGAAGCTGAAAGAGAGTTCCATAGTTGCAGTACTGTTCCTAGTTGAACTAAAAGCAGTGGCAAGCAAAATTTACACATGTAAATGATGGGTCATCATTGTTAGTAGAGGTGTACAGGAATTAAATCTTATATATATTTTTCAAACAATAAAATCCCATCAGAAGGTTTCTTTGATAAACAGTCATTACAAAATCAAATACTGCCGAAATACTTGCAGGTGTAAGTGGTATAACCACATGTTATATTTGGACCATTTAGAAAATATCAATAATAACTCCCTTCACCACTCCTGCAAATTTGAGAAAAGATTTTCACAAGCCAGTGTGAAATTATTTTCTAACCATTGAAAACCTTGTACTCAAAAAGATCATACTGCTATAATCCACTTACAGATATAAAAATAGAAGTGTACTGCTTCTTGAGGCTCAAATCAATTTCAGAAACCAGTATAATTGACATGTGTATACACACGCATGAACACAAAGGAAGGGAGATATCTAGTAGCTGCCAACTAAGGCCTTGTTCATGCACATAATAGAAGAGATTAACCAGCAACTGCCTACTAAGCCTTTGTCTACAAATTAACACAAACATTAGGCTGAACATCATAAAGTAAGTCTGTTTACACATTTCACACCGAATTAAGAATACTTAATTAATTTATAAAAAACAAACTTACTACAAGAAAAATTGAACATTTTATTGTCATTGTATGTCTTTGAAAAGAATCTATAAATGTTATTTCAACTGATATTCTGCTTCTACTTTTCCTTCAGAAAATAAACTTTTCTATGTTTCATTTAAAAGAGGCATTGGTTTTGTTGTTAAATGTTTGGAATCCCAACACTCAGATAGCAACAAAAACCTGGGTAGATGGATCCCAATAGGTGAAAGGCAAATGGAATATATTTCAACATGGCAACATTTTCATGTTGTTTTATATAACAATTGACTGATTAACAAAGAAAAGAAAATACACTAGTATGCATGCAAATATAGTTGAAAAAGAAGACATTAAAAATTAGCTATTAGGAATTTTGTAGGTGATATATGTGCATGTGCAAAACAAAGTTCAGTCACCCAGGGAAAAATATCCCCATACTGGGAAGAAATTCTGTGTTTGTGTTACTTCTACCACATGTTAGGAAAGGAGAGAAAAAAGAAAGTAGCAAGGAGTGTTCTGTTTTTATAGCAGTCTAACAGGTCCATCTACTGGCATATTGGTGAATCTGGTAAAACCAAGTGATGGTAATCCACAGCACAGAAGAAGATATTAGCATAGAACGTATGGTTACATCTAGCAATTCAGCTATAAAATGATGAGCCAATCTAGTACTGTGCTTAAATTTGTGAAGCAGAGGACCCAAGAGGAAAGTTCATCAGAACAATTACCATGAAAATATTTATAGAAATGGTGTAGGGAAGCTATACTATGGAAGTGAGACAGTTATTGAAGCCAAGATGCCAGGTCAGAACCAATAACTTTGCAGACCCTATTTTGGATTTTATCTAGAATCTCAAGATATATAGCATGAGCACCAGACCAGATGTATGTAACAAACTGTCATTACTATTGTTAACTTACTCCACCCACAGAGCAGCACCCTGTTGTCCCTATTTAATCTAACAAGATGTGTAGCAGAGTTATGTTAACATTGGTTTTTGTAAATCATTATTCAAGTGAAATTGGGAGAATATGGTCTAATATCAAATACCTGGTGAGTAAATGTTTGCAGTTCAGATTCAAGCAAATGCCTTTCACACCTGTATCAGTGACATACTTTACAATCTATGATAAATGAGTTTAGAAATAATTAAAAAAACAAAATCAAATGGATAGAAAGAAAAAAAATTTGGTGGGCATATGGAAATAATTATATAGTAAAAAGATTATTTACAGCCCTAAATATTAGGTTATCCATTTACAAATGTATCATCTTGAATATGAAAACAGCAATATCCTTAATTGGCAAGAGCTTCATTAAAGGCAATATTCCTTGTGATTAGACAAAAGTGAGGGATTACCCCACCTTGTCAACCAAGAGACTTTGGTCAATGCCCACTTGGTAGAATGGTAATCAGCAATGTAAAAGGAAAGGGTATAAACTGTCTTTCTCTCTCTCTCTCTCTCTTATTTGCTTTCTCACCGACAGCAATAACATGAGACTCAATCCCACTAGAAAGAATTCTTTCCCTTGGCAAACTGACTATTTAATTTCAACCAAACTGTGTGATTCAACACACACACACACACACACACACACACACACACACACACACACACACACACACACACAGGTAATCACGTTTTTCTTTCCTTTTTCTGAGCCATATCTATTGATATTTTTGCTCTTCTTGAATTATATTGTTCTATAGGAGTATATAGGTTTGCCTATCGTCCAGTTCACTCCTCCCTGGTCTTTTGAATAAGAGTAGAGGCTTATCTCTGTTTAGGATTGGGTTTCCACTTCTAAAATCTTTTCGTTATCTTTCACTCCCAGTAGCCCCTTACATCTTAGTGGCATTATCGCCTTGCTTGGAGTGATTGTTTAAAAATATATATATTTTTATGGTAAGGTTCAACGTGTACAAGACCCAGGTTTACTTAAAATAGCGGGTTATGTTGAAGGTTAGTTTATACGGATATGAGAGGAAGATAATGGTTAACTCTAGACTTGAACAGGTTAAGATTTTAGTAATCAGGGAAACATTCTCTTGGGAGCAGTGATTGGTGAGAAGAAGCTGTTTGAGTGGAACTTACTTCTCGACGATGGAATACAGAGGGAATGTGGGTGGCTTGCTACAATATAAGTGGCATGGTGGGTCCCAGCCATGAAGGTTAGACCTGGTGGGGGTCAAGGAATGTAGTATCTCTGAGCACTTTCCATGGAAGTAGTGATAGACCAGTGAGAGGGTCACCACATCCTGCCTGTGAGAG